AGAAGCATAACACCATTCCATACAAAATGTTTCTCTTCCTTATTGAACTACAGATTTTGTTTACAAAATTACAAAAGACACATCTCGATTCAGTGAACTAGAGAAGATTACAAAACCTTTACATTGTGACATTATTTACAAAAGTACAAAATTCAAACTAAAGGGAAAAGAAGTTCCATCGTTACATTACACTTCAAGTTCACAACAATTTAGATTTTTGAAAAGAGGAAGGTTGTGTTTGGTAGAGTTTTGTAAATATGATTTGAGAGTATAAGTTGTATTTTGAGTTTATGATTTGTGAAATTATGATTTGAATGTGGAAAATTTGTTTGGTTATGGTTTTTGAATAGAGTGTTGAATTGAGTTTTGAATTGTATGTGGAATTGAGTTTTGAAAGTTTGATGTGACATGTGAAATAAGAAAATTTGTTTGGTGATGAGTTTTCAAAATAGTTTTCAAAACTTAATTCAACCTATCATTGATAATCCAACACACAACTCATAACTCGATATCCGTATTTTTTTTATCAACAGTCAACCAAACTATTTTTAAAATACTCAAATAAAAAAATAATTTTTTTATCAATTAATTATTTTTAAGTAATTCTTTTGAATGATTTTTTTTCAAATAACTTCTACGTCAATTATTTTATGTCAATTCATTTTTTAAAGCCTGTATAAACATTAAAAACATTAAAAATATTTTAAAATTATTTAGAAAATTAAAATATTCCAAAAAATAAAATATTAAAAATATTCTGAAAATCAAAATATTAAGAATATTAAAAATATTTCGAAAATCAAAATATTTATAATTAAAATATCAAAATATTAAAATTAAAATATTAAAATATTTTTATGAAAATTAAAATATTAAAAATATTCCTATAAAATAAAAAAAAATATTTAAAATAAAAAAAATAAAAAATATTTAAAATAAAAATTAAGTTGTTTTTTAGTTTTGAAAAGAGCTTTGAGTTGTGTGTTTGGTTATGAGTTTTGAAAAGTAATGATTATTGTTTGAAATGAGTTTTGAAAAATAGGTGTAGAATTATGATTTAAAATCTGTAACCAAATACCACCCTCAAATCAGTGGTGAAACTATGTTTTGAAATCTAAACCAAACAGAGCCACCTACAAGCATAACACTATTCCATACAAAATGTTTCTCTTCCTTATTGAACTACAAATTTTGTTTACAAAATTACAAAAGACACATCTCGATTCAGTGAGCTTGAGAAGATTACAAAACCTTTACATTGTGACATTATTTACAAAAGTACAAAACTCAAACTAAAGGGAAAAGAAGTTCCATCGTTACATTACACTTCAAGTTCACAACAATTTAGATTTTTGAAAAGAGGAAGTCTTTTTCTTCATCTTCATTGACGATTTTTGGGTTCTTCATTTCCTGAAAGGTTAGTAAATAGGAATGAGAAATTTGCCCTGTAGAGAATAACTATAACCAAGTATATAATCATTTGATTTAAATATGCATGACCTTGATTAATGCCCAAGAGTCCATATTTATTTTTAAAAAATAATTATCACACGTCACATAATTCACATTCAGCCTCCACATTTTTCTGCCCTCATACGAATGGCCTGTGGACCCCTCAAACCTTTCCACTTTCGTTGTCCTCACACGAACTGGCCAGTGGACACCTCGCAACATCCCCACATTTGCCGCTCTCATGCAACCAGGCAAGTGGGCTCAAACATATTCACACATTCATTGTCCTCACAAGAACTGTGCAAGTGGGCACCTCAAACACATTCCACAACATTTATATTTTTTTTCACATGACACCAACAATCACAAGAATTCTCCGATTTTACTTATCAATTTTCCATTTCATTAAATTCATGAACAATCCCTTAGGGTTCATATAAAATTTGGGGCTTTTCTATACCAATATTTATTTTCCTTACTTCAAGTATGTTTACCTACTATTGCATAGTTGATTTCATAATCCACCATCAATTTCACAAAAACACTTTATCACACGAAGCCTGTATATGCACATATCATTCATCTTGCTAGTTCCATACATCTTAACATCCACACCTATTTAGACCAAAATATGAATATACAAGGGTAAAGGTATTCTTACCTCAAAGTTGTACGACAAAAGATGAAGGTCCATTTGATGAGCTTCCGAAACACCACAATCTATTCAGTTCAAAATGAAGCTCTTGATGTGGATAACAACTTTCATGAAGGCCCAAAGATCAATTCTTGCTCTTTTCTAGATGAAATCTAGGGTTTTCTAACTAGGGTTTTGAAAAGAGGGTTGTTAGAGAGAGAAGGAGAGTGGAAGAAATGATTTGGAAAAATGTTTGGGTCGTAATATAACTCTGTTGTCCGAACTAGACCGCTCGAGCGAACTTTCCATCACTCAAGTGAAGTGCCAAAATACAAAGGGACTGCTCGAACAAACTTTCCACCACTCGAGCGGTAAACCTTTGCAGAGGTACAGTGAAAATATTGAAAGCTCACATTTTACGCTCGAGCGACCATTCCTTCACTCGAGCGATCTTGCTTATAAACTTGAAGATACTGAGAGATGCAAATCTCCACTCGAGCGATCAAATGACTGCTCAAGCGGTCCTCCAAAAATAGCTGTAACAATAACACTATTGAAATGGATTTATTTACAATAATGATATTACCGCGTCATTCTTGTCAAATCTTTTATATATTTAAAATCTTCCATATTTATGTAACTGAGTTTTAGGGTCTTCTAAGATACTAGTGGCGCCACCTCGAAACGGACCTAATTGGATGATCAGACCTAATTGGATGATCAATCTATATTGGTGAACTGGAAACAATCTATTTATTTATTTTTTTGTTATATTGCTTCGTAATTTTATACTTATGAATATAATGTAGGAGATCCTCTATCTTTAAAATTTTCAATTTATTTATTTCAATACATTTTTAATCATAAGATTGTGCTTTACATTTTTATATGACTTTACAATTAAAAGTATATTAAAATAAAATAACAAAAAGTATTCGGGCAGAGGGTATCCCTGCTCAAAAAATAGGATATCTTGTTTGCCCATAATCATATGATGACCTTCAGTGGGCTACTACCAAGCATTTTAAATCTCTTCACTGTGCATTATGTTTTGGGAACCTTTGAAATATGGCCCACACACTTAGTGGGGGCAATGGGCATTACACCTTTCCAACATGCCTAGTTGCAAAGCATTGTAAGGGTGACAAAAAAATAAATATAAATAACAATAAAAAGAAAGAAAGAATAGGATCTCTCAATTAGCTTTTCTTTACACAACAAAGCATCATAGAATACATTTTTGTTAATGGTGGTTGATGAAATGACCTCTCACCAAGCTCTCCCTTGACCCCCACCCTTGTCCTTCTATCTTTCTTTTTAAAAACCCTTGAACAGAAACCTATAGCTCCATTTCTAATCATCTACTATTATATATATATATAATATATATATATTCATATATGCTCTCTTTCTTTTTTAGAGTGAGAGGAGAGAGAATGATGGGATTGCACTCAAATATGCCCTTGACTATCTTTCTATTTGTTTTGACCACACATTATTAGTAACAAATGTTTTTTAAATGGGTTTTATGTTGAGGGAAAATTTTGCTTCAATGCAAGTTTTTAAAAATAATTATAAGTTAGTAAAAAAGTTTATTAATTTTAATAATTAAAATTATAAATATTTTTATGAATTTGTAAATATTTTGTAGAAGTACAACTTATTTGCAATTTTACCTTAAGTTTCAACTCATTATAAAATTACATTAGAACTTATTTGCTTTCTTGATTGATTGGGAGGTATTAATCAAATCACAAACCACTAAAATTTGTATTAAAAAAAAATTACTCACAAATGTATGCAATAATAAAATTTTAATATTTAAAATAGAGCTTACTTGAATAATATGATAAAAGCAATCATGTAGATAAAAAAAATATATTGTAAATTTATTAATTTATATAATTTTGCTCCTTCCTTAATTCATAAATTTTAAATTTAGAAGCGAGCAAAAATATGATTGAAAGGAGATAAAAGACAATTGTCAACAAAAGTTGTGAACAATTATTTTGAATAATTTAAATTAATAGAGAAATAGTAATTGTATATGAAACTATGACTCTTCATACCAATCATTAACTCTCTACAAAATTAATTCAACTTGATATAATTTTCGTTGCTAAGTAAGAAATTAAAAGTTCGCCTTTTCAACTTTGCCGTATATTTTCTTGCCACTTCAAAAGCTATGATCATGTTTAGTTTTTTTTTTTTTTTTAAATGTTATAAGAATTTTTTTTTAAAAAGTAGAAATTAATTTGATAAAAATAAATACCAAAAGGATATTTTTAATTTTTGAAAAATTAATTATCTTAATAAAAATAATAAGTGTTTTCTTATTTTTATTTATTTTGCTAAATTAATTTTTCAATTTTTTTTAAAAAAATTATAAAATAAATTTTTGAAAACCAAACTAAATATGGATGTCAATGAAAAAGAAATAAAAAATAAAAAGAAGCTATCTTTCTAATGGATATTTGTAACAATATTATGAAAACATTTGAAACCCTAACAAAATTCTCACAATAATATATAATATGATATTTTATGTGTCAATTTTTAATTTAATTTATGCCACTAGCATTACACCAATATTTTTATCAATTGTAAATATAGCCTCCATTTAGGTAGCGGGTTGACTTTTTGACTTTTTAATTTTTTTTTACTATTTTAACATAGGCTAAAAAACTTAGTTTGGAAATAATTTTTCAACTTTTTTAATTTTTTTATAAGAGAAGAGTATAATGATTATAGGTGAAATTTGATATTTTATTTATTGTGATTAAAATAATATATTTTATCTTTTATAACTAAAATAATCTTAAAAAAAAACTCTTGCCAAATAGAGCCATAAATGTGTTATAATTCCCTAGTCACTGCCCCTTTTGGTAATTATCTTGTAACACAGGAGGGAGGGGGAGGGGGAGGGAGAGAGAGAGAGAGAGAGACCATTGGCATTCCCCACAGAAAAGGTAGTGGGAAAAGTTCTTTTTGTACACACTGCGATGATGGTGATGATGATGCCTACAATCTCCCACAGCAACCCACAAAACAAAGAATTACTCCTGCCCCCCCTTCTCTCTCTCTCTCTCTCCACTCGCTTGTCTGTCTCTCCTCAGTCTTTTGCTCTCTTTTCCTTCCCTTTTCTCACAAGCATGGTAAATCTCTTCTTGTTCTCATCTCTGTCTGTCTCATCCCAATGTAATTTTAGTAAGAATCAAAACAACCCATGAAAGGTTGAGTTAGTGGGAGGGAACTCCAATGGAGAACAACAAGTGTGGGTGTTGGGCAGTTTTCAGGAAGAGTGTTAGAAGTACTTGCAAGCCCGCTGCTTCCAAAGACACTCCCAACACTATTCCTAGAACCAGTCTTGTTTATGATGCAGGTAATCATATGTAATTATATATATGTATGTATGTATACCTATGCAGATTCATTCACATATTGCAGGCATTTGGTGTTGCTCTGATTCTCAATTTTCTTCTGTTATTTTCAAGTTTTACATGTTGGGTTTTTGCTAGTTGTTTGAACCAATAATTGATCCAATTCTTCTGGTGAGTACTCCATGTGTTTGTAGAAATGGTCAAAGCTATTTTCATTGTTCTGTTATGATATTTACTTCTTCTTTCTCCTTTTCGACTCTCTCTCTCTGATATCCCAACCAATCCAACAAAGCATTCTTGTTTCCACTTTTGGCTTGGGATTAGCATTTTGAGTTGTTCAAAAGTATTTCAGAAAGGTTCTGTATTCTTGATATTTCAAAATAACAATAACCAAGAGATCCCAAAATGGTTTCTACTAACCAAGATTAGCCACCTGAGCTCTAGCCACCAGGACTACAACTATTCTTCTTCAATCTTTTTAAAAATTTGGGACAAGCAAATTCTTGACTGGGTTCTTTATCTGAGATGCATAGCTCACTTTCTCTTAATATTGTCAATTGCTTTGACCACTGGAGAAAAAATATTTCATCTGTAGTTCTGATGCTCTCCCCCAATTTTACTCAAGCTGTTTTTGGCTGCATTTATTCCCTTAATTGGCTTCCTAAGAAAATGTAACAACAGTGAAATGGGTTTTTCTATTTTCCCTTTCCTTCTTTTAGTCGGGTTGGAGTCACAGAAACACGCAGGCTACATAAATCTGCCCCCCACAGACTCCCCTTTAGCAAGAGCCTTGTGCACTGAGTTGCTCTTTCTTCTTTTGACATATGTTACTTTATGCAATAGACATTTTTGTCGAAATTCGACAAATTCAATTGCACTTGTTTCTTAAATTATTTGTTAATTTTCCAACTTATAATAAGCTGAGTGTGACCCTCAGTTTCTTTAAATCCAGCTACTGAGACACGATACCTAAATGCTAGTAATCGGGAGATGTGTGCTCCCAATGAAGCTCAAAACTCAACTGATAATCCCAATCCTCTGCCATTAGAAAGCAAAGCTCCTTGCCAGCTACTCCAATTTACTTTCCAGGAACTAAAGTCTGCAACGGGAAACTTCAGACCCGATAGTATTCTTGGGGAGGGCGGGTTTGGGTATGTCTTCAAAGGATGGATAGAGGAAAATGGAACAGCGCCAGCAAAGCCTGGATCAGGGATGACAGTAGCGGTGAAGAGTTTAAAGCCAGATGGCCTTCAGGGCCATAGAGAATGGGTGGTTAGTAGGTTATCTGCTTTGGGTTAGTAGATTGATTGTTCAGAAGATGTTGTGTGTGAGAAGCTAAAAAATGATGGGAGGTAACTAAATTGTACTTTTTTATTGTATACAGGCTGAAGTGGACTTTCTTGGGCAGCTTCACCATCCTAATCTTGTTAAACTTGTCGGGTACTGTATTGAAGATGATCAGCGGCTGCTTGTTTATGAATTTATGACCCGTGGAAGCCTTGAAAACCATCTTTTCAGAAGTGAGTGTGGAAATTCTCTTGATTAAATTCCTATATATGCTTTATTTTCATGATTATTACCTTTAGCAAATTGGTAATCTGACATCATTGTTCATTTGACATCTGCATTTGTTTTTGCTGATATCTTGTGAAGGTTTTTTTTTTTTATTTTTTAATTTGTCGCCATCCCCCCTTGTAGCGGTACTAATACACTTAATGTGGTTAATTTTATCAGTGCAGCAAATACCCAAAATGTGGGTAGTTTTCCCATTGTCTGGACTCAATTTTTTAACATGAGCTAAAACTTTATTCTGCAGACTGAAGGATAGATGCACCTAATTTGAAATTTCTTTATCCTGTAAGAATTTGAGGTTATAAAAAAAAGGCATTAAAACCCATGAAAATAATTGTATTTGATATCAAAGGACATTGATTTTAGTCAGTGGTAAACTTACTACAACAATTTGAATTCCAAACCACCTTATTATTATCTGTCTAATCTTATACACACAAATGTTTTCCCCGACATCTTTAGTGAAGATGGATAACTTCATAGAATTGTCGGCTGTAAAGACAATAATAGTAAGTTTTCTTCAGAGTTTGAAGTTCACTTATATGTGTTTAGATCTTGAATTTGTGGAGTGAAAATAAATAAGAAGAGATAAGTGAACAAAATAGAAGGTTTTTTTTTTTTTTTTTTTCCCTTTTCTTCAAAAATCTAATTTTGAAACACTGCTTTAATATGATCTTTTTACTTATTAAAACTTAGGCCTCGTTTGGGAACCCTCATTTGTAGCTAAAAAGTCAAAAAGTTACTAAATTAGCCAAAAAGCCAACAACCCATACCAAAAAGTCAAAGATTCTCTTTTCTATCTACTTTTTGCACATCTTTTCGTAAAAAGCCAAAAAGTCATCTCAAACATACTAGTTTTTTTTAGCTCATATTTTAGCCAAATAACCAAAAAGTTACTAAATTAGCCTGTTCCCAAACGAGGCCTTAGTGTGTTTTTAGTTTGCTATCAAAGAGATGTACCAACAAAAATGCTAGGTCATTTGTGTAATCAGATTAGTTGTGTTTTTCAATGGTACAACTATACCCTGTTTCTTAAACAAAAGCTGATGCTGGTAAAATTCTTGAAGGGACAATACCTCTCCCTTGGTCCAACAGGATCAAAATTGCACTTGGTGCAGCTAAAGGGTTAGCATTCCTCCATAGCGGCCCTCAACCTGTCATTTATAGAGATTTCAAGACGTCTAACATTTTGCTTGATTCGGTATGTGGTTAAAGATTGATCAACTGAAACCGCTATTAACGAATATATCAAGTCTTTTGCCTTACTGAAACTGCTATTAAAAAGGATTTTTTTCACAGGAATATAATGCAAAGCTTTCAGACTTTGGTTTGGCAAAAGCCGGGCCTCAAGGAGACAAAACACATGTTTCTACAAGGGTTGTTGGAACATATGGCTATGCTGCTCCAGAATATGTAATGACAGGTACAAAGTCATACCTATTTTAGATAGCTTGAGCTAATTGATTCCTGAGATGGATCTTTTGTGAGAAATCTACTTTATGTCAGAACAAGATTATATTTGTGTAGAAAAATACAATAGGATCAACAAGGGTGCAAATCATCTGTTGAAAATGTGCATATAAGATTTTAATAGCAGTATTGGGAGATGAATCGGTATTGATCGCCGTCTAGCTATATTAAGGGTATTGAGTGAAACAAAATGAGAATCAAACGACGTGGTTTTAATTTTTTTTTTTTTTTTTTTAAATCATCAGCGGCGAATGTGCTCTATAGTAGCTAAATAAATCAGTTGCATCGGTTATGTATCGACTATGAACTGATATGTATAGCTATCCAGCCACTGTGCCTGTGATTTCATTTCCACCATTAAAACAGGGTGTATCCGTTTTGGGAGACTATTGAAGACAAGCTAACAAACTTTCTTCTTTTTTTTTTTCGCTTTTTTTTTAAAGAGGGTGGAGGAGGGGAATATAGACACTGTAAAAAACTCATATCATCCAATTTGAATGCTTGAGAATTGCCCCATTTATCTTGGGGTATAATGCCAAGTTTTGTCCCTCTTGTTTCATGTACTACGTTTGAGATCTAACAATTGGTACAATTTTGGTTTGTCTCTCCTCCACCAGGACACTTGACTTCTAAGAGTGATGTTTACAGCTTTGGTGTGGTGCTTCTTGAGATTTTAACGGGGAGGAGGTCGATGGACAAGAAACGCCCTAGCGGGGAACAGAATCTTGTTGCCTGGGCTCGGCCATATTTAGCTGACAAGCGAAAAGTTTACCAACTAGTTGATCCTCGCTTGGAACTGAATTACTCCCTTAAAGGGGTTCAGAAAGTCGCTCAACTAGCTTACAACTGCCTCAACCGAGATCCAAAATCGCGCCCCTCCATGGACGAAGTCATGAAAGTTCTCACTCCACTGCAAAATCTCGATGACATTGCCGTATTATCATACCACTCTCGTTTATCGCAACCGGGGAGGCGCAAGAAGAAACCAGATGGAGGTCATCACCACCAGCTCAGCCGCAACCAATCCAAAAGCATTCGAGACTCTCCGGTGAATACTAGTAGGCAGCATTGTAAATAAAGGAGGGTAAGTCTCTGCCTTTGATTTGGATCAACTTACAATTGAAACCAAATGATGGAAATGGATGATTATGTGAAGTAATAGCTCGTGGTTGTGTTATATAATTTTTGGGTGTTTGAAATTTGGCAGAGCCACTTGGTAATTTATGTAAGACAATACACTATTTTCCTTTCCTTCAAATTGTGCACGGTAGAATTGACGTCTAAAATTGATGTTTGATCAGTCTTTGCAACTTGCTTGTCTTCCAATTGTGATATATCATTGTAATTAGATAAAACGTGCATTTTGAAGATTGTTGTTTGCAGCTTCCCAAATCTCAAATGTTTTCTGCTTTGGCATTGCAGTTTCTTTTTTGTTTGTTACAAAAATGGTCTCTAAAGTATACATTTTGGTATACTTTATTTTATTTTTATTTTTTTATCTTTTAATTATTCCACTCTGCTTCTTAAGTGATTATTTAGTATTCTCGGAGTATGAACACGTTAACTAATTGATGATTGACTTAGAGTATGGTCACCTAGTATTTCAAAATTATTAAATAATTTTCCGTGGTGCTTAAAGTATGCAAGTTGTTATACTTTATGCAGTAAATATAAAAGATCTTTTAATGGTCTCCTAATCTCGTTACCAATTTTGAAAGACCCTGACGTATTAACAAATTTTTTAGAGGTCCCTTTATATTTGGAATCATACTGACATTAGGGATCAAAGTATAACAGATTGCCTACTTTGAGCACCAAACTAATAAAAAATTTAAAAAATTAGAAACTAAAAGTATAACGTGGAGTATATTTTTGGAACCATTAGGAAACGAAATTTGTCACTACTTTTAGTTTCAGTGATTTCACATCTTATACTTGGATAAACATAACAAATGTCATATTTATAGATAAGATTCACTGTATCCATAAAAAGATGGTCGGTGCCTCACTTTGTTCGGTTTAGATTTTTCAAAAATAATTTTTTGAGTTTTCAATTCATATTTTTATGTTTTTAAAGTTTTTTTTTTCTTTTTACAAATATTATATTTTTTTAAGTATATCGTGATTAGGTGTATTTAAAAAAAATAAAAATAAAATTTGCATAAAATATCAACAAAAAAAAAATAGTCACTGAAAACACACAAAAAAATGCTAAAAATAAAAAACTCAATTTTTTGCCAAACGAAGATAATTAAACAAGGTATCATTATTATTTTCTTGATGTGATCCACTGTTATTTTCTTGATTTTATATATATATATGATGGATCTATGACATTTGTTGTGTAGATTCACCTAGGATATGAAAGTCCAGTTGTTGAATGTGTATAGTTGAACGGAACATTTTTGTTCAAATCCTTTCTCATAAAAGCTACTAGCATATTACTTATGCTATGCACAAATATAAATAAATAATTAAAAATTAGTTTTAAAATTAAAATAATAATATAAAATTTATTTAAATTACTATGTAGTAAAAATGATTTATAATTAATTAAATTTTATTCATTTTTATAAGAATTACACGTAAGAAAAGATTTTTGTTATGATATTATTAATTTTGTGTTTTAAATTCTCAATAAAAAATTACATGTTATAATTTAATTGGTAAATATGTAAAAAAATATAAATAAAAATTACTTAAAATATCTAAAAAAATCACTAAAAAAAAAAATCGATATTTTGAAAAACAGAGATAATTAAACGCGGTTACACTGTTATTTTCTCGATGTGATCCACTGTTATTTTCTTGATTATATGTATATATAGATATATGATGGATCCTATATGCCAATCCATATGTCATTTGTTGTGTAGATTCACGTAGGAGATGAAAGTCCTTTGCTGAATGTGTATAGTTGAAGGGAACATTTTTGTTCAAATCCTTTCCCATAAAAGGTACAAGCATATTACTTGTACTGTACATATATATAAATAAATAATTAAAAACTAGTTTTTAAATTAAAATAATAATATAAAATTTATTTAAATTATGTAGTAAAAATAAGGAAATTTTTTTTAAGGTCCTTGATATTAAGATTTTATAGCATAAAGGACACCCAATATTTTTATAATATCTAAGATCCCTCAACATCAATCTAGAGAAAATTCGATCCAAAGAATTTTTCTAGATTTTCCAGAGAAATTCTCTCCCAACATACAGAGGAAATTTAGACATCTAGAGAAAATTCAGATAGTTCAGAGAAAATTCACATAATCTAGGAAACGTTGCATCGTCATGCATTTTATATGTTCTCTTAAAAATATCTTTTCATGGAGGGTTGTCATCAAAATTCTATTTGCTAATCCCAGTACTCCTTGCAAGTCAAGTCCAACAAGATGAGGTGGTTGACAAGCAAGAAAGAGAAGAAGTCATTGGGCGAGCTTGAACAAGAATTTCTTCAAGCACAACAAGTAATAAAACATATTATTTTTAGTTTTTTTAAATACACAAATTTATTGTGTCTTAGAATTCTGCTCAGACTATGGTTCTACAGTGATTAAAATACTTCTGATTGTCCTACCGATTGTAGAATCAAAAGTATTATGTAGCGTTCTAGATTTTGGGGGGAAAAAAAAGGGTAAATTACACTAACAGTCCCTATAGTTTGGAGTTTATGTCACTTTGGTCCCTAACTTTTTAATTGTGACACATTTGACCATGAATTTTGAATTTTGTTTCAAATAAGGACAATTGAAATATCATTGCTTAATTTTAACGGAAAAATAGTCAATTTGATAAAATATAAACTAAATTTGACAAAAATAAATGTCAAAAAATATTTTTAAATTTTTAAAAATTATTTCTACCCATTAAAAATAAAATTACGTAAAATTGATAAATCTTTTAGATATTTATTTATTTATTTATTTTTACCAAATTATTTTTTACGATATGTGTGGATGATGGTCATGTAATGAGTGGTTATTTTATTTTTATTAAATTAGTTTCTATTTTTCAAAAGTCAAATGTGGTGACAATTTTGATATAATTATTAAACCAATCCATTAAATTAAAAAATTCAAAACCAAAAATATTTTATATATTAAATATATAGATTACACATTAAAATTTTAACAACCATCCATTACATGATCATCATCCAAATATATAATAAAAATTAATTTAGTAAAATAAATAACTAAATGTCTAAAAGATTTATCAATTTTACGTAATTTTATTTTTAATGGGTAGAAATAATTTTTAAAAATTCAAAAATATTTTTTGACATTTATTTTTGTCAAATTTAGTTTATATTTTATCAAATTGACGATTTTTCCCTTAAAATTAAGCAATGATATTTCAATTGTCCTTATTTGAAACAAGATTCAAAATTCAGGGTTAAATGTGTCACAATTAAAAAGTCAGGGACCAAAGTGACACGAGCCTCAAACTATAGGGACTATTAGTGTAATTTTCCCCAAAAAAAAAAAAGAGTAATGATCCAGAGAAAATTCACACATCTAGAGAAAATTCACAAGTCTAGAGAAAATTTACACATCCAGAGAAAAATCACACAGTCTAGAAAAAATTCAATCTGATTTCCTCACATACTTGACATGATTTGAACAACATAATTGGTATTACTTTCATATTTGTTCACCTTTCAATTAAAAAATCTGTAATATAAATTTGGGATCTTGGATGTCTCATTTTTTGTTGATAATATGACATTCATCAAAGTAAATAAAGAAACAGAAAGCTATTGGCATGAGAAAGCTTTGTACCTACATGCTATGTATATATTGAGAAAGTTTCTTTTTGTTTCTGCATGATTTGTAGCCCCAGAACCCCAGCTGGACACATATGTCATCTGTAGATTTTGGGAAAAAAAGAGTAATGATCCAGAGAAAATTCATACATCTAAAGAAAATTCACAAGTCCAGAGAAAATTCACACATCTAGAGAAAATTTACACAGTCTAGAGAAAATTCAATCTGATTTTCTCGCATACTCGACATGATTTGAACAACACAATTGATATTACTTTCATGTATGTTCACCTTTCAATTAAAAAATATGACATATAAATTTGGAATCTTGGATGTCTCATTTTTTGTTGATAATATGACATTCATCAAAGTAAATAAAGAAACAAAAAGCTATTGGCATGCGAAAGTTTTGTACCTGCATGCTATGTATATATTGAGAAAGTTGCTTTTTGTTTCTACATGATTTGCAATCCCAGAACCCCAGCTGGACACATATGTCACTTGTAGAGCAAAGAGATCCATAAACTTCAAAACCAGAAAACTTGTTAAGCCAAGTCCTCGGTGACATTTGAAATTTCAATATTCGGATTCGAAGAAGACACATTCTTGACTTCAATCTTCATATCTCTGGAAATGTTTACAAATTCTCCACTGCCCATGGCTCAGATCATGGTGGTCTAACTCAAATCGCGGCCTGCCGGTGACGGCGTGGTAGAGATAGAGGCGAAGGTGAAACTGGCAACGTCGAAAATGAAGGCTGAGAGAGGAGAAAGGAGCAGAGAGAAAGAGAGAGAGAGAGAGAGAGAGAGAGAGAAGAATGTGCACAAAGAAAGAGGGTTTGGTTTGGATAGAATGAAGATCGGAGAGAGAGGGAGAGAGAGCCAAATTTCTCTAATCTGATATATTGGAATGGGTTTAGGGGCCTTAGACATCAAAATATAATATTGTGGATACTTTCCATTACTAAAAATGGGAAAGGGACCTTAGACTAATTTTCCCTAAAAATAATTTATAATCAATTAATTTTTTTTCATTTTTATCTGAGTTACACATAAGAGAAGATTTTTATTCTGATGTCATTAATAATGTGTTCTAAGTTCTTAATAAAAAAATTGCATGTCATAATTTAAATGGTAAAACTTACAGAAATAAATTACAAAAATTATATTTACGATAAAATATAAATACATTTCGTTTTGTAAGTTTCATAATTTTAATTTAGGAAAAATTAGTCTAAGACCACTCTCTCATTTATAGTAATGGAAGAGATCTACGATATTATTTTGTGATATCTAAAGTCCCTTAACCCTACACCCATATATCACAAAGAAATTTGACTCTCTCTCTCCCTGTTTCTTTCTCTCTCTCTCTCTCTCTCTCTCTCTCTCTTCTCTGCGATCTTGATTCTAAGGCGAGTTCATTTCTCTCTCCCTCTCTCTCCAAACCAAACCCTCTCACTCTCTCTGCACATTCTCCTCTTTGTCTGCCCCTTTCTCCTTTTCTGGTTTTCATCTCCGACAGTATCACCACTGCCCCAACATTACCGTCTCGCCGTCACCTCGTAAAGACCGATGCAGATGGCAGAGCAAGAGCGTCACTAACGAGGACCTCGACAAGCTC